TTGTTTGTAGCTCTGATTACAGTTTTCTTTGCGTCTGTGTTAAGTTGGTTGACAACGTATTTCAAATGTAATTAGTCCCCACCAGAGTTACCTCACCTTCAAGAGGTGAGAATTATTGATGGAGGTTAAAGCTAGAACAGCGTGACCCGTGCAGACCTGAACTCTCTTTCCAAGGTCACAAATGTGTATGTGGGCTTTACTTACCGGGTCGGACGGTTGGATAGGTGGCTGCTGTGGCTTATTTGCTTTCTGGCGTCCTTGTTTGTATGCATGTGTGTATATGTGAATACGTGATAAAGAGATATGAGGCTTTTACCCTCTTAGCAATTAAAAAAAAATTGTGATTTTGCTAGTTTGCTTCTTTAATGGAATGGCTCTTGCCAGTGCTTTTCTAGCAAATGGATTTCTTACTCCTCCAAAGATGCTGCAGTTTCAAAATACGATTCTTCCATGTTCTCTATAGAACCCTGAACTCCTAGTTTTTAAAGTCTCCGTTTTGCTTTGTTCTTCTCTGTATAGTCCTGGGTAGGTCCTTTTATGTCTAGACGTAGAGATTTAAAATAAAATCGTGAAAGAAATTGATTACATGATTTCTAAGACCCATTTCATTGGGTCTTAGAAATTCACAATTCTGGTTTCTTTTAGAGACCCACAAATAATCCTTTCCCTCTTGCTTGGGGGGAGAAAACACATAAAAAATACAACCCAAATATATTAGGGTGATACAGAACTGATAGGATGTACGTGCATGCGCGCGTGTGTGCGTGTGTGTGTGTGTGTGTGTGTGTATAAGGAGATTTATTGTAAGGCTGACACGATTATGAAGACAGGCAAGTCCCAAGATCTGCAGTAGGCAAGCTGGAGACATGGGGGAGCTTGTGATGTAGTGTAGTCTGCTTTTGAAGGCCCGGGAACCAAGAGAGCTGATGGTGTAGTTCATGTCCAAAGGCTGACAGGCTTGAGACCCTGGAAGAGCCAAGGTTGCAGTTTGAGTCTGAAGGCATAGAAAACCTATGCTCCACTTGAAGGCAGCCAGGCTAAAAGGAGAAGTTCCTCCTTCTTTTGGGGGGAGAATCAGCCTTTTGTTATTCGGGCCTTCAACTGATTAGATGAGGCCCACCCCCATTATTACGGAGGGCATCGGTTTTATTTAGTCTGTCAGTTTTCATGTTGAACTTGTCCCAAACCCCAGAAACACTCAGAATAACGTTTGACCAAATATCTGGGCACCCCATGGCATAGTCAGGTCAACACATAAAATTAACCATCACATCAAACTTTTCTGAGACAGAATTTAAAACTTCTGGTTTTTTTCTTTCTAAGAGGTGGGCTCACAATTCTCCCAACAGCCAGTAGCAGCTGTTCGCCGTATTGGATCTGAATAACATTATTTCATGCGAAATCTTTATCTCTGGAGGCTTTCATATTTTTTCGGGTTTTTGTTTTTTAAATGCTTTTCAACTCCTCCTTTCCTTTTTATTTTTCCTGGCAAAGCAAATCGTACTTTCTAGCTCATTGGGTTCCATTCTGCTGCATTAATATTTAAATATTGCCCAACCACTTGTGGAAGGAGCTATAAGCTCGCAAAGAGACAAAATAGTAGAATATACAAATGTCACCACAACTTTTTTGGTGACACATCTTGATGCTTGATCCGTGTGGCCGTGGCCCAGAACTGGTCAGCACCCCTTGTCATCAGGTGCTGAGTCACCAGTGAAATTGAAACCCGCCATCCGCTCCGTCTGCCTTCTCTCTTAACATGCCACAGCTTCGTACCTTCACCTTCTCCAGACGAAATGTGTCTTTCGAAATCGTCTGTCACAAATAGGCGGTGCCTCTGGAGAAAGCTGGGAGGCCGATCTGGTGCTGTTAAGTGTTCGTGGCTCCTGCTTGCTGGAGACCACATCTTAGGGCAGGGTAGCCAGTGACATCGGAGGCACCAGAGGAGCAGGGGGGCTGAGTGTCAGTTCCTGTAGGTGTTGTGGTTCAGGGCCCCTCTCTCCATCCCAGGCCACAAGCCATATTCATTCCTATTTTAAAAAGGGCCAGGTGCTTGTTCCAAAATACTGCCTTATAATAGTCTCCTCATCATGCCAGGACCATGAAACTCACGGGGTTTTCATTTACTTTTTCTGAAGTGTCTCCATTTCTTTCCACATTACCCCTTGATCCGTGGGTGGGTAATTATTGAGGTCAGTCTGATTAAGGTGACCTAGACTACTCCAGTCAAGATGCCTCTCTCTCTCTCCAAACCCAGTCCAAACTGACCTGAGCAAAGTAACTGTATTGACCCCAAACTCCTAACAAAGAAGTACACGGGTGGCATGCATCAGGCATGGCTGGATCCAGGGGCCCCCATTTACCAGGACACCATTTCTCTCCTTGGCTCTGGGTTGATGTCACCTAATGAAGACAGGTTGAAGTCCAGAGAGATCTTATCGTCTGAACCAGTGGTTGTGGATGGGTATGTGATGCGTTGAGTGCAGTTGGACCGAGGGGTCCACATAGCTTGAGAGTTGGGGTTGTACCTCCTAAGTAATTCAAGGTACTGGTACCAGAAAAAGCACGAATGGATGCGGAGCATAAAACTCAGTGGATGCCTGCTTTCTAATCTTTAGGATCCGTTGATGAGTTATATATTTATTAAGGGGAGATTCGGCTACAGTTCCTTCTCCGTACAAAATGATTTTGTAGTTGTATATACATTTGAATTTGTTTAGAAGCCATCTTTTTCATCCTCCAAAATTTGAAGTGGCTTAGAAGACTTTACGTTATACCAAAAGATTGGAAATGAACATTTAAAGAAATGAGAAAAAAAGAAAAGCAGGGTACGCCCAGAAGACAAGAAGGGAATAAGGATAATTTTACACATTTCGAAGCTAGGAGTTCCTACAGAATTGGTTGAAATGACCTGCAGATTTGGCTCTGAGGTTCCCAGGAATGGCAGATCTGGGTTTTAGATGGAGGGGTGTGTGTGTAAGTGTGTGTGTGCGTGTGTGTAAGTAACATATCCGCATAAGCCACAGGCCCCTGTGGGAGTATAGACCCGAGGAAAGGCCATGGGAAGACAATAAAGATGCCGTGGTCTATGGTAACCTTAGATACATTTCTTTCCCAAACTCCTCTGGGACACTTGCCCTTGGGGGCCTTGCCTCTTTGCTCTCAGCACCTTGTTAGAAAACAGAGTGAGCAGACAGGGATTTCAACCCTCATATTGCTGGGTTCCTTCCAGGAACAGTTGGAGGGTTAAACCATGTCACCTCTGATGGGAGACAGTAAGGTGAGTCACCGCTGTGACAAGGCAGAATGAGATTACCTTAGTTGTAAAGCTGGGCCGATCTTGAAAATGGACTCCTGCTTGCCTAATGACTCACATTCCTGTTTACAAATGAGCGCTGTGTGGGGAAGTGCAGAGTGGGGCGTTCTGTTTCCCAGACGGAGACCAGAGACCTCCAGGCATGGGCAACCAGGGCTACCTCTGGGAGCTTGGGCTGCCCTTTCTGGGGGGCAGACCTCGGGGCTTCCGGCAATGGTGGCTTTCCGAGACCAGACAGGGACAGCTGCAGCCAGCTAGGACCCTGGAGTATCACCAGCTTGCAGGCCATGTGACCCCTTCCCATTTGGGGAGTTCATGTGGCCTTTGGATGGTTTTAATCCTCCTGGACACCCTACCCCCCCCAACCCCACCCTGCTGCCACTATGGGAGGACCAGGTAATATGGTAGCCATGTAAATTGTTCTGGAAATACAGTTGCTGTTTATAGAATTCGTCCTTTATTTCCATCGATTTGCTGTCTCCCAGAGTCTTTAGCATCCATTATGCTCATTCTGCTGCTATTTGATGAAATCAGAACATAAGATATTGGGTTTTGTGCTCAGTTCAGTCTCATGCTCTTAGTCCTGAATTCTGTTATTCAGGATTAAGAAGGGTGAAGAATTTATTTATGGCACTTTTTTTTTCTTCATATAAACCCTTTTAAAGACTGGAGTAGAGAAGTCATCACATGCATACAAAGGGCATAGACATTTTCTTTTTTAAAAGGCAATCAGAATGGTATTTCTCTGTTGTGAAATAGCCCTTCTTGGATCCCAGGTCTCTTTATGCCCCCTAAAATCTCTACCCCATTTATAGAGTAACAGGGAATGTCTGGACAGGCAAACGAGTCCACACAGCAGCACCGTGAGTCGACCGAGACCTGGTCCCTATTCCCCTTCTGCCAGTTACTAGCTGTGTGACCTTGGGCATGCTCCTTAACGTCTCTGAGTCAGTTTCCTCCTCTGTAAAATGGGCATGACAATACCTACCTCACAGGGTGGTTGTGAGGAGTTGAGGAACAGCGTGCACATTCCTGTCTAAAGCCCCCGACAGGGTCGGCAGTCAAGGAAGCAGCTGTCATGATAGGCTCCAGCCGGGCTGAAATTGAGTACAGCACCTGCTTCTTGAGCACGCATACCTGTGTGCTGCCGGATCTTTTCGAGGGGTCCAGAGATGTAAACGTAGTGGCCTCTCCAAAATCGTAGTCCGGCAGAGGAGAAGGTGACTAGACAGATCCCCAGATAGCCCTAGGGTAGTATTGGGTGGAACCATATGTGATTGCATTTTTGTAGGGTAGAACTATCAGCAGTATCACTTGGTTAAATTAATAGAAGATTCAGTAAGGTAAGTTGACAGAGAGAGAGAGAGAGAAAATGCCGGCCAGCTGGCTCAGAGCAAGGAGCAGCCATGTCCACTGGGGGAAGGATGGGCAGAGGTGGGGACAGCGGGAAGGGATGTAACAGAAAGGTTGCATGAAGGAGGCTGTATTTAAGATGTTGCTACAGGGGGCCCCAAGCTGGAAGGCAGAGAGGTGGAAGAGTCCTGGGGTCGCATCGGGAACCATGCTCCGGGTTTGTAGGGAAGCGTGGGTTAGGGAAGAAAGTCAGGCTGGGGGCCATGAATGCCTTGGTGACCGCGTCCCCCTCCCTCCCAAGCCTCACTCTGTTCCCCTTTCTTCCTGGCAGCAGTGCCCCCTCCCTTGCTGCACTCAGGGACATGACTGTCAGCACCTCTACCCCCCCTCAGACTTCACTGTCAGCACTCAAGTCTTCAGGGACATGAAAAGGAGCCACTCCCTACAAAAGGTTGGGGAGCCCTGGTGTTTGGAGGTAGGTCTCGGAGCAGAATGACGGTATGAGATGAGCTAGCTCTGAAATGCAACCGCCCGTCCAAAGTTCACCCCGCGTTAGGGCAGGCTGCACCCACCGTGACCCCTACATTCCCTCCGGGTTGCCGTCACATCATCGGGTGCCGTGATGTCTGGGTGTTCTGATCACCGATAGGTTTATCATAGCCATAAGAATGCTAGTTTGCGAGGAGAGGGTGGAGGGTGGTGCACCCGTGAACCCAAGGTGCCTGGCTCCCCGTAAAGGCTGCATGGTCCAGGGTCATGTGGAGCTTCCGTGAGAATGATGTTATCCCATTAGACTTGACCCCCAGGAAATAATTTCCTGGGACGTTTCACAGCTCCCAGGGGAAGAGAAGTTACTCCCTCGACTTTGCCTTTGTTATTAGTTAGTTAGAACTTAAGGATTTTCTTGTAGAATTCAGGGCACTGAGAAATGCTCAGTCCTCTGCAGCGAGTGATACCTTCCTGAGGCAGCTGTGAATGGCTTTCCTCGCAGCCGCGCTTGTCCAAGGACAGGAAGCATTGTTAATTTCTTTTAAATAATTCAATACTATGTCAATACCCCATATTGCTCCGTGCTTGGGAGTGACGGGTCCCTTCAAATTAGTAGTCTCAAAGCATAAAGACCATGTAGAACATGCTTTCGTTCTCAGAAAAGCAGAAGTCAATGCAGATAAAAAAAATTTTAAGTAACTCTTGAGACCTGAATGGCAAATGATTTTGTATTAATGCTGGGTTTTGTTTTGTGTTGTTTTTTGTTTTTTTTTTAAGAAAAGTGAATATTTAAGAGCCGATTAGTGAAACGTCTATCTTTTAAAAAACAGTTACAGCACACCTACTACGTGCTGGGGGCTGTGCTGGGCGCTGGGACTCCGGGAACAGGGAACAGGCCTAGGCGTAGAGGAATATGTAACACGGGTACACACGTCTTGCCTTCAGCGAGAGAAAAGGTGTACTCGTCATCCTCACCAGCTTGTTTTCATGTAAGAAGTAGTAGGCAGCCCTTTAAGAGAACTGAAAACATGTGGAGAAACATAGAGAAGGAAATGTGCACACCCACCGTCGTTTTACCCATTTATAATCCCTTAATATTTGCCTGTGTTTCTCCCCCGTCATCCCTGTGTCGAAACTTTAAAAGTGTTCCACAGGATTGGAATCATACTTTGTTTGCACTTTTGTATCTTCTTCCCACTTGAGGCGACACCGAGGGTGCTTCCGTGCACCGCAACGTGTCCTAACTCTGGTTAGCAACTCGGTGTGTTAGTGTCCTGTGAAAATCTTCCTATGTGATGGCCCCCACTTTGGCCAGATGTAAACAAAACTGAAGATGTTCCTGGTCTCTTTGGAAACGCCCTCTTCTCCACCCACGATGGTGCCTGCACTCCAATTTCCTGGGCCGGTGAACACGTAAGGCCCGTGTTCTTTACTGGGTCTGGGTGTGACAGGACAGGGAGGCCTCCCTCTGTGTGCACCAGCCCATGGCCTGAGCGAAGCCTTTTCTCAGCAGCCCCTCCCTGGCCCAGGTTTTAACAAGTGCAGCCGGCTGTCCATTCTGACCCTGGACGATAAGGCCACACACCGCATGTATAGCTATTCCTGCCCCAGCGGCCTGGCAAATGGTAACTCATTAATCTTTGGTCAGAGTTATGAGGCAGATAAAGGAGAACTAGGCACCCATTTTGAGTATGAGGAAAATGAAACAGAAAGACTGGGTTTCTTCCTTATAACTCGAGATCTCTGAGGCCAGCGACTGCGTTCATGTCTCCGCTTTGCCCTCAGGACACAGAAACCTCTTCTGGGGGAAGCCCTGATATGCCCCGCTTCCAGCATTGGGTCTAAATCCTTAAATCGGGAATAGGCCAGACACGCAGACGCCCCCTCATGGGCTGTGGGGACTTGGGCAAGTTACGTAGCTGCTCTGTGCCTCAGTTTCTCTGCCAGGGAAGGGGGGGTCACACAGGGGCTGCTGTGAGCATCCAGTGAGCGGAAGCGTACAAAGTGGGGCTTGGCCAGAGTTGCTGGCCACCAGCACAAACACTCGGCAAGGTTCTAGGAGCATGTGTGTCCATGCGATGGGCTTGCTTTGCTGTGGACGTTTTCACGGAAGCTACTTAGGTATTATTTGCAGTACTTACTAGTTCAGGATTTGCGGTGGGATAGGGAAATCCCAGCGTGGCTGTGCTCCAGGTGGCTCTGGGTTAGCACAGCAGAACCCACGCCAGAGTAGAGTCAGAAGTAGGGGGCGCCTGGGTGGCTTAGTCGGTTAAGCATCTGACTTTGGCTCAGGTCATGATCTCATGGTTATGAGTTCAGACCCTGCTTCTGATGAGTCCCGATTCTCTCTCTCTCTCTCTCTCTCTCTCTCTCCCTCTCCATTCTCTCTCCCCCCCCCCGCCCTAGCTCACGTGTGTCCTCTCTCTCTCATAGGATTGAGTCCAGCCTTCCCTCACCTCTGTTGGCAAAGGGCTTCACCCCTCTGTGACACACTCCGTGTGTCTGTAAAAGGGGATGGGGGTGGCAGACCAGCCTCGCCTGCTTCGCCAGGGGCAGCTACCAGGATCCCTGGAAGTACTGATCAGAGTGAGATGCAACACAGCGCCCCCTATGGGCCAGGCACTTCCTGTAAGCACTGAGCTACCAGTAACTCTAGGACCCGCCGACAACCCTGAGAGGGAGATGCTGTGATCCCCTTTTGCAAGTGAGCCACAGGGAAGTATAGCAGCTGCTGAGGAGCACACGGCACAGGGGCGTAGCCTTAAAACTGCTGTTAAATGAGGACTATGGCAACGGCACACGGTTCAGGGGAGGATACTAACCATCCTCCACTTGCTAACGAAGATGTGTTGGGTCCTATTCAACACTCTCCCCTCTCAGGGGCTGGGAGGAAGCTTTTGATTCAGGACATTCACAGTCACATCGGGTGACTCTGTGGCATTCACCAGTGCCACACGCAGGATACTTTGTACCCCAGCCATACTTAACTTTCGTTGTCCCTTCCCTGTCTTTTCTTACAAGGCGGCTGGAGTCTATCCCTTGAGCCCTCCCTCCCAGAGAATTAAAGTTGGTAGACCAACTGAGTAATTATGACTAAGAAAATCAATATTCACCTGGCCGGCATGAGTCACTTCTTTCTAGTTAGCTATTCACATACCTTTTAAAGCTAGCCACACAGTCATTACATTGGGGCTATTAACATGTCTAATAGTGACCATAATAGGGCGGGACCCGTGGCATAAGTGCGTTCAGATAAGAAAGAGTGTTTTTTCCCGTAATTGCTAAGTTAATGCTATTTTCACGGAAATGCTGGCAAGCAACCTTTTAAAAAGTTCTTTGTCTGAATCCTTCCCTTATTCCCTGCTCCCCCCTTTTCGGGGGTTGTATAAACTTTTCCTGATCAGTGGTTGGATTAACAAGATGGCAAACGCTGTCCCTTTTGGTGTTTTGGGTAACCTACCTTTTTGCTAGCGTGGAGCCTATTTTTATTTCATATTTAAGGATATGGGAGGGAGGGAGTGTGTGTGTGTGTGTGTGCGCGCGCACCCGCGCGCGTGTATTCAGGGGGGCACATTATTGTTGGTGCTCGTTAAATCTCTCAATTTACACATTTAACAAAAAAAAAGACGTCTGCTAACTTTGCAAAGCTAGTCGCATAGACAGGGAGTGAACCATTTTGGCGAGGAGGAAATGAAACTTTTCTTAGGTTTATTAGACCACATCCTATAAATCTGTGGCTTATTATATGTCTGATTTCTAAAAAGCGTGGCATCACAGCTGAAGTTTTATTTTTGCTTATTAGTCACTGAAACAAATGTAGATACTGCTTCATTTCCTTCGTACTCTATCTTTCAATACATGTTATGTATGGAAAATCTGGATTTACACAACAAAGTACATTAAAAGGGAAGTATTTGCTTTATAAGTCTCTGCATTGCAACTTTGCAAGCATTCTGTTAAGCTAGAATGTTTAAGTTGTCGTCTTACTTCTGACGACATAGAGAAGCAGTGAGAAAACAGTACAAGTACCTCTCAAAGGCCAAGTTAATATTGTGACAGACGTCCTTCCATTCTTTCAAAAGGTGTGTTTTAAAAATCACAGACGGGCCTCACCTCATACTGTGTGCAATTGTTTTCTGTTTATTTTACATCTCTGGCGATGGAGACACCTTCCTGAGTGTGATGTGTGCAATGGAGACTCTCTGTAAAACTTTTCATGGTTGTCCATTCAAGACGTGAGTTTCCCTCAATGTGCTTCGTCATGGCCCCAGTGCAAACAGACTGTCTCTAAAATTCCACTGTTACAGGGCAGTTGCATCACAGGCGGGAGCGGATGTGAGTTGGAAATGACAAGGCAAAATGAGTCCAGACATTCCATAATGCCCTCATGATGCATGGGACCCGTAGCTTCATGCATACGGCCGTGGACCATCCTGTGCCAGTGCACCAGCAAGTTCCCCCCCCAGCCAGATTCGTTCTCAGGGTGGGATCGCTAGTGGGACCACCCACCTTATTGTGTTATTTCCTCTTGCTCTCATTCTCTACTCGGAAAGCGTCCCGTTGAATTCTTGGAAGGTTCAATGAGTGCGTTGATTTCCTCTACCCGTTAGTGTCCTCAGTCGTAGAAATGGACACTGTCGTGCCCAACTTGGGATCCCTAATGCCTCAGTGGAATCCCATTCCCAGCACATCATGATGTAGCCTGCTTCCTACGTGATTGACCCAGCTTGGACACAGCTTGCACAGGGAAAATAGGCCCAGAGCGGGAAAGGATCATTCCAGGCCCTATTCCCCACGTGTTTGCCATTCCTTGGACTGCAGGCTGTGAATGCTGTTCTTTTCACTTCTTACTTCCTCCCGCCCGGTGAGGCTGGTCTGCAAAGTTGGAAGCCCAGGCACACCGAGCACACGGAGGGCCTCTGAGGAGCTCACCCGTGTGGAAGGTGTGAGTGTCCCCTGCCCTGCGTCCCCACCTCTCGGGCCGCC